ATATTAAAAAAAAATAATCAAGAAAAATGCCATATTATTACAAGAATAAAGATAAATACACATTTTTCTGAAGTCCTGCAAGCAGAACAGAGGAGCTCCTCTTCTTCTGGATGCCAAACACGTATGACAACGTGGAGTTGATGAGCCAAAGGATATATTGTTTTTATTGGTGTAAATTTGATCGTATAACTTATTTCATACTTAACAAGATGCTGCACATTACTCATTTCAACACAGGTGACAATGACACATAACCTAAGATTATAACTTTATTCTCATAATGTTTTACTGTTAAGTAGTCCAAATACTCTGTTGTAGAAAGTGTTTTGGAAACAGCAAGAGGCACTGAATTATTTTGCCATTGCATTTAAATGTATCTTAACTAAAGCGTATTAACCGACTAGAGCCCACTGTGCTCATCTCTTACTGTCCTGAAGCAGACAGAGAGCAGAGCAGGATCAACAGAGGCTGCAGGTCATGGTTGACTTTGACCTCCGCATGCAACAGTCCATGAGCCAGACTTTACATGCCCTCTGTTGGTTTAGTGTTCACGCTGGGGGGGGAGGGGTCTGTGAGTCACATACCACCGTGGCCCTAACTGAAAACAATACACTGGATTTATATTGTATTTTCATTTTCTGGAGTTGATTAAAGGTTAATTTCTTTTGATGCTTTGAAGACACAAACCAAACACAGAAGCTGTATTTACCTTCGACAGGTGACGTCCTCAGTCTGGAGCACAGCCCATTAACATCTCCGTAACCTTTCTGGATCCTGGTCAGAGCCTCCGGTCCTCTCAGCTCCATGAGCGAGCGCAGCTCCTGCAGCGAGCAGCTGAACTCTGCCTCGTGGTTAACGTCATCACGTCGGCCGTGTTTGGACCCACGAAAAGAGTTATTGGCCATGTCTGCTCCTCTAGGGCTCAACAGAGGCCTTCCCGACAAACACAGACTCAGTAGTGGGTCTGAGGTGCAGATGTGGCCTTACAGGGACTCTGTGACTGTAGAGGCAAAGACATAGATGGTTATTTCAGAGGCCTCTGTGGAAAACAAACACATAACTGTGGAGAAAAGGGTATATTACCATGTAGAGTACATGACTGGACTCAAGTGTTGTGGCTGGGCTCAGGACAACAAGGTCATGCTCTGGGGTAGGATTATACTCATACCACTAATTACATGCAAATTATATTTTAGGGGGCGACTGATATATTTTAATTACGTACAAATTAGACTTCTTTTTACTGGTAAACATTTAAAGTCCCTAAAGATAGATGGATTTACTGATACTTGTGGATGTATCACACAGAGAGATTACATATATCATAACGGTTTTTGGTGGTTTGTTAATCATTTCTCGTGGAGGTGGGAATTAGCTGGGTGAACTTGGACTCTCAGCTCTGTATTTAAGAATTATGTATTCATGTCATATTGTAAGGTACCATGCTGTATTGTAGTGCATTGTATCATTTTGTTTCATATGGTATGGTATAATATGGTATAGTATGGTATGGTATTGTATGGTATAATATGGTATAGTATGGTATGGTATTGTATGGTATGATATGGTATAATAAATAAAGTTTGTTGTAGTTTCTAACTTTTTTAAATCATGAAATGTTAGATATGCCTCACAGACCTTTTAATGAACTGATGAACTGATCTGATCACCAATTTGAGCTCAGGAACTAACACCTGCACTGAGCACTGTATCTTACTCGGTAGCAGCGGTAACCCTAACCCTGCTGTCCTGGGCAGCAGGGGAATGATACATATCAGAAAAAGAACATTTACAGAACTCAATATTTCATACATTTAAATATATTATTTCATATGGGTTACATGGTCTCACCAAATCACTGTCATAACCAGTTAAGAGTGACTCTCAATCAACCAGGCAACTGTGAAGCAGACAAATACATCTGATCCATCCTCCATCCAACCACACTGCTCTGTTCTTCAACCCCACCTAACAAAGTAACATGTGCCATTTAACCGTTTGGATTTGAATACACACAGTATCTATGTGGTGTGTGGAGTATTGTGCATGCTGGTGTGTGAACTGAAAGCCTTTGTTCCTCACATGGTGTGACCTCTGTGCCTTCAACTGTAATCTGTGTCAATCAGTCAGCCGAGCCTTAATCTGAGCGAAGGAGAAGCAGCCTGTTTAAGGCTGAAGGAGAGAAAGAGAAGAGCTCCTGAGCAGGAGTCATGGCGGTCTAACTGGTTGAATAAAGCTTGCTGTACAAAACTAAAGCTTCATGAGGGATTCCACCCAACAGTCCAAACACACACACATATTCAGTTCAGCTACACAGAGACACATGAGTGCTGCAAATCTCCATGCTAGAGAAACTGATGCAAGGTGGATGAATTCTCTGTTGTAATGTGTGAGAAAAATGATCAGCCACACGGAGGAAACACATTCAGGATTTTTCCACAGAAAAGTTATTCAAAGTCAGCCACTTGTGAGAAAACATTCCTGTCACCACAGAGAAGAATAAAATGCTTCACTTACAGAAACTTCCCCCATCGCCTCCTGTTAGCAGCAGCAGGTATTAGCAGCAGTCCGATTACTCTGAGCAGCGTCACACACACAGTTCCAGAAACAGCCCATAACCCAGCCCCAGTCTGCACCAAGACCTGCTCCAAGACCACAATTTACTCCAAAAAGCAGCGCGTTGTCCAGAAATTCAGTTTGACCTTCAGCAAGCTCACAGTCACAAGCAGTGCTCCATCGGAGAAAAAACAGGAGCTGGCTAAATGATTATCTGTGGAAAGCCTCGCTTAATCTAATTAGACAATCTGTGGCTTCAGTGAGCACCAGAGAGACTGCTGCTGCAGCTCCTTCTGCTGAGAGGGACACACCAGGAGTGCACACACCAGGGCTGCACACATTGGTTTACACACACCAGGTTTTCACACACCAGGTCTACACACACCAGGTCTGTATCCAACAGGTATAAACAGCACGTCTGCACACACCACATCTACACAGACTATATCTTGTCTAAGTTTTGTTTCCATTTACTATGGACACAAACACATACACAAATGTCCCTGTCCCCATTCACCCTCTGAGCAGCAGTGATGCATGCTGACATCAGGTGGCACACACACACACACACACACACACACACACACACACACACACACACACACACAGGTGGCTTACATCACATACAGAAACACGAGGATTAACTGACCCTCACACAAGGTGATATCACTGTTTCACATTTGCATGATAGTGTTTTCACACTGATCTAGAGTGACCTTTGACCCCACACTCTGATGGAGACTACAACTGCGCTTGTGTAACTAAGGACTCATTGGACAGATCATGCCAGGAACGGGATTGGCCACATCCCCACACACAGTGACCATAATTCCTTATTTCACAGAGACTCGAGGCTATTTACAATTCAGGTCTCATTCATCCATTCACAAAGTGCTTATTCTAAACATAGCACTTTTCTGACATACACACACTAAAATGCTGACTGGAGGAGCCAGTGGTCAAACCACTGACCTTGTGATTGGTGGACAACTCACTCTACCTCCTGCCAGTAGGAGCTAGAGTACAGAGATCAGACCTGACAGTTTAATCAAATGAGACACTGTTATAGTTATAACATTCATTTTACCTAATGAAGAAGACTGAAGTCTGTAAGCGAAACGTGCTTGGTAAATGTATCCTGAGTTCAGTCAGTACTAGGTACACTGAAATGGGATTAGTTCATTAGTCTGTACAGTTTGTGTATGCTGCCACCCAGTGATCAAACCACTGACCTTGTGATTGGTGGACAACTCACTCTACCTCCTGCCAGTAGGATTGAAGTCTGTAAGAGAAATGTGCTTGATAAATGTATCCTGAGTTCAGTCAGTACTAGGTACAATTAAATGGGATTAGTATAGTCTGTACAGTTTGTGTATGCTGCCACCCAGTGATCACATGAAGCCAGCAAACTGTATACAATAATATAATATAATATGTACCTGGAACTGGGTGAATAGGCAGAGCTGCAAGACAACCCTGTTTTCGTGAAAGAGATTCTGTTTGACGGTACAGGAAAGAGTCACAGAAACGGAATGCTTACTGGATGTTAGTGTGAATTCTTACCTAATGTGATTATACAGGGCTTTTTGTCGTTGTACCACAATGTTTCACACTGTTGATTTCTCATCAGACTGCACAATGCAGATTCTTGCTGTGTTTTGTTTTTTTCCAAGCAGAACTTTTTGAACAAGTATACATCAAGTGAATAGCAGCACCCACAGTGCAAGTCAGAGAGTTCTGAAGGTCCTTCACCCTAACAGCCGTAAGACTTTCCAGCAAGCAAGTAAAAAAAGTGTAATAATCATTCCTCTCATTTTTTCTGTATCTACCTCCTACATATAAATATCTATTTCATGTGCATTCATTATATTCAATTTTATGTGCGTGCGCAATACTTCTGAATTGTTACATCCCAATGTATATTCTCCACTCTCATGTGCAATAAACTGTGAATTTTCCAGTATCTTTGTATATTATTTACATTTTTCTTTATATACCGTAATTACCAAATAAACGCCCAGGCTATTATTTGATAATTTACAGTTTATATACATTCTTATTTTTTATTTCTATTTTGTTTCTATATTTTTATTTGTCTCTATCCTAATGCCCTTCTGCTGCTGTAATGTTGAAATGTCCCCAGTGTGGGATGAATAAAGTCGATCTTATCTTATCTTAGAAGAATAAGATTGAGAAAATGAATGTTCGTGTTTTACAGTCAGATCTTACATGTGTGTCTTTTTGTTGTCATTCACATAAAAATGACATCCCTGTTACAATCAATGGAATCGGACACGTCTTTCCGAGGTGAAGCGAAGTTTGGATTTGCTCCGCAGCGAAGCAAGAGGTCACGTGCGTCTACGTAACACCGTAAACAGCTGATCGTGACGTCACTCTCCAACATGGCGGACTGGAACAGAGGTACGTCTTTGGACACGTATTCACTTGTCTGTTTTCAGCCGTAACGTGTCAGCAGCAGCAGCAGCAGCAGCAGCAGCATGTCAGAGGTGAGGGGACAGCGGAGTGACGGAGTGCCCCCCCCCCCACTGACACAGACGGTCAGTGCACGGTCTGACTCTGGACCCGCGAGCCTTCCCCTCAGCTAGCAGGCTAACTAGCTGAGGAGGGGAGATTCTGGGTACTTCCAGGTTTCCTAACGTCGAACGGCTCTGTAGCTTCACCACCGTGAATGCAGAGGTGTAGCTGCCACGTTGAATTTGTGAAGAATAAGTAGAGTAGGTTGTGCTGGTGACTGGGTTTCTGTGGAATACTAAAGCTCGTTGACACTTGAGGAGAAGTTGACGGATGCAGGGTTGCCAGGTCTGCTTGACAAAACAAGCCCAGTAAACATGTCCACCTCCAGAACATGTTCCGCTGCTTTACAGCATTGGTTCCATTGCCAGCGGTGCTGTAATATCTACACTGACCGCATGATAAGATGGATATTTAGTGGTGCCAGCACTATAAACAGTTCGCCCTGATCGGTTCTTAAATAGAGGCCTAAATTGACCTCGTATAATAAGACTGTGTATAAGCATATAAGATATAGCTTGATCAATATGGTGAAAATTCACATCTGTACAAACAGCTGTTGATTTAGTGTTTTTCTTCTGATTCCACTGATCGACAGAGTCCAGACAGTTAAAGAAGACTTGCACTATACGTTTAAGTAACTATTTCACATTTGAAAATGGAAAGAATGAACCCACCCACAGGAGCTAACAAGGACTGAACACAGAAACATATGATGGATTGGGAACCAGGTTTTCTCAGCTCTAGGAAACAAGTAGCTACATAAAGTTGTCACTCAGGCTGCTCTTTCTTTGTGTGTGTGTTTCCAGGTCATGGCGCTGTTGACGACATGCTCGATGCTGAGAACAAGCGAATGGCTGAGAACCTGGTCACCAAGGTCTCCCGACTAAAATCTGTAAGCCACATATAGATTCATAATTATTTGATAAATGTGTGCACAGTATCTAAGAACACAGTCTAACTTCAGAGGATGTTGCACTAGAGAAGTGTAGCTGCATATTCTGTAGAAAATCACCTTCCGACGATGTATGTTCCTCTCTCAAAATCTGCTTTCATGTGCTCTTCTCTGTCTTGTAGTTTGACCCTGAGATAATGTAAAGATTTATTTGCTATCATTTCTTTTCTAAAAACAACAAAAACTTTAGTATAACACCTACCATTTAACTTGATCATCCATCCTGTCTGTGTGTCTGACAGCTGGCATATGACATCGACAGAGAAGCTGATGATCAGAACGAGTATTTGGACAACATGGTGAGTCCGTCTTGGCTTTCATTGTCATTGACATGGCATTTTTTCATTCAGCAACATAACCCATGCAAAAGCCTAATGTTGAAATTGAATAGCTACAAATTGGGCTGGGCGATAAAACGATAAAGATTATTATCAGAAAATGACTTCCTTGGTAGAAATATAAAACATGGTCCATATGAAGTCGATAGACCTCATTCCATCCATGTTTTGACAGACACCACAGACAGCCAATGATAATGAAAATTACGCTGCACCGAACCAATCGTGTGGCTGGAATAGAGTTTAGGTTAGGACGCACACAGCAGAGTGTAGGAGCAGCAGCACGCATGTAAATGTTTGGGCTTCTGCAGTCATGTACATCAGGAGTGGGCGCGAGACAAGAGAGAAAGTGATGACGGAAAATGTTACTAAAACCAGAGCGACAGCGTTACAGAAGAAAAAACCTCAACAGACACAGCCCAATTTTCAAAAGACGAGGACATTGTTGAAAAGAAGGGTTAGAGGGATTTGGCAGTGTGGAGATAGTTTGGCTGAGACATTTGAATGTATCGCTTCCAGCTCTGGGACATTGTCATTTATTTTGATGTATTACACACCAAACAATAATCAGATAATCCAGAAACTCATCTGCAGATTAATTAATAATGGCCCCTTAGCTGCACCCAAAAATTTACCCTGAGAAACATTGACTTGATTTTTCTGGATACAGGCTTTTTTATAAATGTGCAGTGGACTTGTTCCAGCTAAAATGGGGTAATAAATATAAGCTCATGTATAAGGTTTTCTCAAATATACTTCTGCTTCTCTGCTCAGTCCCTTCACTTTCTGAAAATGAATACATTAAATCTGCAACCCTGTACAGTAAGTCATCTTTCCCTTCTGCTCCTGTTCCTCTCAGGACTCAAACTTCCTGAGTGCGACGGGCCTGCTGACCGGCAGTGTAAAGCGTTTCTCCACCATGGTCCGATCCAGCAGAGACAATCGTCGCATCCTCTGCTACGTTTCTGTCGGACTGGTCGTGGCCTTCTTCCTGCTCTACTACCTGATCTCCAGGATCCAACGCTGACGGGACGACCGGATCAGGACCTGATGTGGAGCCGAGGCTTCCGACTCTGACGTCCCGTCTGATCTATTTAAATCATCCCTGTGGTATTCCTGTACAGGAAAAGAATTTTGCTCTACACCAAAGTGAAAAAACAAACTGGAAAAAGACAGAAAACATTAAGTTGAGTTTTTGATGTGCCCAGCAAGGGGTTTTGGAAACTCTTGCTCTTGTGGTCATATCGGCGATGTTGGAGTCTCTCAAGAAACAAAAAGGACACGTCTGGTATTCAGGGCTTTCTGCTTTGCACTGCCAGGAAGTCCTAATTTGGGCAATGAGAGGGTGGAGCCTGAGTGAAGGGGGGGAAGATATCCACCCCAGCTGAGCAGATTGTGATAGGCTGATAAACTGGTCAGTTAACTCACCCTAGATATATACAATACAGAGGCTGTCTCAGTTCCAGACTACATAGTAATGGAAAGCAGTGTTTGAATTACAGCTAGTCTGTTCACTACTGTAAAATTGAGCCAAAAAATATATTACAAACTTAAAATCTCCCGTCAACTCTGTTGTTGCAAAGGAACTGACAACTCAGCTGAAAAGTAACCGTAATGCAAATGTACATTGTGGTGGTGACACGGCCAAAGAAAGTTCAAGTAACAGTTTAAAGTCTTATTCAAAGGTTGATTGAACAGATTTATTTTTTCCCATCAGTACATACACAGTAAAGGTTGTTAATGGAGATATTAAAGCAATATAGGCGTGTATGTGTGTATATATATATATATATATATATATTTACATCTATATACATATTTAATTTATAGTATGCACTGTCTGCTGATTTGTATGTTGTGTGGAACTGGGACAAAGCAGGTGATTGTTTGACAGTATATTTTTTTGACACATGGGTACAGTTGATTGACAGGAGATTGGGCTATAGTTGGTTTAACAAAACATTCAGTGTGTTTCAGTTTCATTTAAGCTTTATGAGTTTAGTGTGTATGTGGCTCAGCTCGTTTCCTTCTAATTATTAATATTATGTCTTGATACCAGTCCTGTTCATTGTTTCCAGACATTTTGTTAATACCATTTTGTTTTGTGTCTTTTATTCCTCATCAGTTGGTGAAAGAGACTGGAGAGGATTATATTTTTTAAACATTCACATTCCAGATGCTGATCAGCTGTAGCCAATATTAAAGGTCCAGTGTGTAAGATTTAGGTGAAAGGGATCTATTGGCAGAAATTTAATGTAGAATAATCCTCATGATGTTTTCACTAGTTCGTTTCATCTAAATTGTATGAATTGTAGTTTTCTTTACCCCAGAAAAGACCCTTTATATTTAAATACCTTATATTTACATGGAGGGGACCCTCTCTACGGAGGCCGCCATGTTTTTTACATTAGTCCAGACTGAACAAACTAAACACCTTTTGAGTTTTTTGACAATTAAAGTCTACCACAGGTTCTTTTTCACTTTTGGAAGCAGAGTGTGAGGTGAGGGGTGTTCAGCTGCAACATGCAATTACAACACTAGATATCACACAATTCTACACACTGAACCTTTAAGTATTATTAATACATGTAAAATAAATTGCTTTATTTGTGGATCTTGTACAGGGTGATTTCCTATTTTTTCAGAGATTTGTTATAGTTCTTGGCATTATTCACTTTTTTTAAATAAAAAAAGTCCTCCATAAAAATATTTTATATCCCATGAAATTATTTATGATGACTGTTAGAGCAGGTAGATTTTATTTTGACGTCTAATCAAAAATAAATCAAAATTCAAGAAAAAAACTCTTAAAGATACTACAAAAATAGTGTAATTCCAGCTGAAAAAGAGTATTACTGTAATACATATTACTCCCAGTTATTGTTGTCATTGATATACAGTGGGCAGGAGAAAGAGGCCCGTCCATCAACCAGAATGTCAATGGTTTGATCCCTGACTCCTTCATCAAGATACTGAACCCTGAATTGCCCAAAGGCTGTGCGTGTGTGTGAATGCAACTTGTACTGTAAAGAGATTTGAGTGGTCAATAAGACTGGAAAAGTGCTATATAAACCAGGCATTATTTATATGAGACACTTCCCTGCTTCAGGGTTCCCTACAAAAAGTCAGTTTTTAAATCTTCAGGCACTGTATACTTTATTTCATAACACAAATATATATAAATTATCTTGTTTGATGAGGAAGGAGTTAAGAATATTTTTATTTTGTTGTTGCATGTTTGCCTTTGAGCCCTCTGTGTCTAGTCCAGTTGGATTATACCATTTCTAGAAATAGTGGAAATACACTTAAATGACCTACATGTATATACCATGACTAAGTAGTAGATGTAGAATCCCCCAGGCCATGTCTGGAAAACCATTATATTCCACTTTTATTGCACAGTTCTTCACAAACCTGAATCAGCAGCTGCTACAACACGTGTTTAAAATGAATTCAGATTTAAAGAAACAAAAAATGATTTACAAACTTTATAGCAAGTAAATTTAGGTCATTTAAACATTTAGGTTCAACATATGAGGTCATGAAGTGAAGTGTAAATGCAGAATTCTCTCTTTCTGTTGTGTTCCTCTCTGCATGTGTGTGTGTGTGAATGTGACTGTGTGTGTCTGTCTGTGAAAGTGTGAGTGTGTATGTATTTGTGTGTGTCTGTGTGTGTGTGTCTGTGTGGGTGGGTGTGTGTGTGTGTGTGTGTGTGTGTGTGTGTGTGGGTGGGTGGGTGGGTGGGTGGGTGTGTATTTGTGAGAATGTGTGTTCGCTGTTCGCCGCTGTGTCACTTCGTGTTTTTCCGGAAGTCTTCGGGTGCATCGTTTTGCTTGACTAGATAGAAACCCCTCGGGCTCTCTTCCGCTCTCCGCTCTCGCTCTCCTGGTTCTGAAACGTTTTACGTCAATGTCGGTGTGAACACAACGGGATTCGTCCAGTACCGTCACCGGCTCCGGGACCTGCGAGTGCTCCTCTGGTTCGTATCGGACTCGGCTGCGCTCGGACCTCGTCTCGGCGCCGCTTGCTGCTCGGTCGCATTCGGCTCTTGTCGTAGCGCTGGAGAATGGACGAAGCGGACTCGGCCACGAAGGCGCTCGGGCTGGATGAACCGCCCATCGACGAGCCGCCGGTGGGCTCGGATACCGAGTCGGAGGCCGAAGTCGCCACGATGGCTGTGATGGCGGAACCGGGAAACATCGACATGGGAGCCGAGTCTCTGCCGAACCCAGACGAGGCTGACGCGGCGTTCGCAGGTAAAGGCGGGTTCATGGCTGTAGCTAGCAGCAGGCCGCGGAGCGGGGAGGCGCTAAAACACAGACATGTTCGCTGCGTTTGTAAACAAAGGAGAAGACACTCTGCTCGGTGTCTCAGCATCTGTTCCAATGGAGATTTCCAGACGACTCCTACACACGTCTGCAACACTAAGTTAAACCACATCAGCTTCATTAGTCTACAATTTAAAGATTGGTAACATCCACAGTGTGATTTCCTAACGCACGCATCCACTTCATGAATTTATCAAGCGGTCCGAAATCCTGCAGAGATATTAGATATATTTACAATACATTAAAAATATCAGTTCCAACTTTTGGAGTTAGTTTACAGCAACCTCTTTGAAACTGAGAGCTACTTCATGTGTACTGAGTCATACGAAGGGCAGTTTGATCCACTCCTCTGAAAGAACACATTTGCTCAGTTTGCCTTTAGTTGTATGTTATTATTAATGATAAATGATGCTCATCTATGTGAAAACACTGATCACGTTAAGGATTTCTCACAATAATTATGAACAATGACTTAACAAGGTGGGAAACAGATACAATCAATATTCAACACTTTATTTCTATTAATCTCAGCAATTGTTTAAATTTAAGATGATCACTTCTACAACATTTCATAAGAAAAAAATCCCATTTTCACCAGCCACTGACCAAGGCTTTTAACAAATCATAGTCAATGGTCAACTTCAATATGAGAATAAAAATGTGACAGTATAAAAAGTAAATAATTACATTTAATTAGAAACACATATCAAACTCCCGCGGGCACCGTGTTGATGACCCCTGGTTTACTCTATCACAACACAGTTTACTGATGGCTAGGTGGAGTGGACAATGTTAACCATGTTTAAAGTCTATAATTTAGTTTTATTATAGACGTATTGTAAGTAAGACGAATTTAAGATCAGTTTGTCACGAGAATGAAATGTCATGCGATTCATAATGCACTTTTAATTTAGAAATGATTTTCTCTCCGTTCTTCTGTATGAAAATGTCAGATATTGAACATAGTTTAGTGAGGGTAGAATATGTCTCTCAGGACTGCCTCTGCACCAGGGCACAGACCACACTGCTCTGTAGAACAAGAACAATGATATTAATAACCATCATCATAATCATAACCATTTCCACAGCTTTCAATGACAATCGCAGGCATGCAACATTCACATACTCACAAATTAATGTGCATCACATTTTCTTAGATACACTGACTGATGTAGGATCTATTTAGCTAAATATAGGATTTTTCTAAATCAGGGACAATAAGGGGGCCACCTACACAGATCCCTGCAGAATTCCTAATTCATTGAGGTGCACATTTAAGTCAGTCCTTGTTCACTGCTAGCTCTGAAACTTTGAGCAAAGCCACACATTGTGCACTTTAAAAAAGCTTAGAAAATAAAAAATACTTACAGATTGTTATATCTACTATTAGTATTGTAAGCAAGTGACTGTTTCATTACAAAAAAAACTACTGACAGGACTGGGGCACTTCAGGGTCCAGTCAGTGCCCTCTGCCTCCCAGGAAATGCAGCTAAAAATTCACTTTAATGTCTGATGTCTGGGACAACTAAAGCAAACACAAAATTAGTACAAACAGGCATTATGGCTGAAACAGGATAATAGAAAAAGTTCTCTGATTTTGGTGATGCTGTCATTATAGCACACCCAGTTTGGCTGTGATATTATAATTGTATCCTTACATTACAGGTGTACTGTATTAGCTCTTATGCATTAGAAGTGGAGTGCATGCGATGATAAAATATTTCCAATCTCTTGTTGTTGATCAGAGGTGACGGTGAGGGGCGTTCAGGCTGCAGAGGACAACGTTTTTACCACGACCGTCGCTGCATCAGGAAGCCTCCCTGAACACGTGCTGGTAGATCAACACTCAGATGATTACACTAATGCATAAGTACAAATGTTAATGTGAACGTTTGTTGGTTTTCTTATATTAATAAACTGTCTTTGTGTTTTGGACTGATGGTCAGACAAGACAAGACATTTAAACACATTAATTGGGCTTTGGGAGATTGTGAATGCAAAGTTTTCTCTCTTGGAAATAGATTAATTACTCTAAGCTCTAAATGAAACAGCACATGCTGACATCTACTGGTGAAACTAATGTGTTACAAATAACCCACATAAGTATAACGTGTGTGTATGTGTGTGTGTTACAGAGTGGGAGGACGACCCTCCAGCTGAGTGAGGGTCTCAGTACCCAGAAGGCCACACTGATAGTGGTTCACACTGATGGCAGTATCGTGGAGGCTGCTGGACTCAAGTCTGCCACCGCCATTGCACGAGGTGTGTGTGCGTGTGTGTGTGTGTGTGTGTGTGTGTGTGTGTGTGTGTGTGAAGGTCCTGCCGTGTCTATATTCAACCAGGTTTGGTAAAAATAAATACATATAAAAGACAGAAC